GGGTTCAGGGTTCCAATCTTGGTGAACAGGCTTTTTGCATGGGTGTTGTGTTGGTTTTCCCCATATGTAGCATGCACATTAGCCGGTTTCTATTAGAAAGTCCTCCATGAAGACATACCTTCCCTTAGACAGACAGCCCTCGAGTGTGTTTCTATAAACCAAAAAAAAAATTAAAGAATCAACATTCTTGCTCTTTTTATATTGTGTAATCTGCTTCTAAACGACTTGTTTTGCACTTCGAATGTTTCTTTAGTTGATAATGGCGCCACCAAAAAGTTTTGACGTTATAAACTTTGGCATAAAAATCTAATTTATACCACTGGATGATTTGCATTTAAAAAACAAATTATGTCCCATCCTTGCAAAAAATAAATCAGATTGATTGGTTTATTCATAAAATACCATCATTATTTTTATATGTGTAATGATAATTTTAATCACTAGTATAATAAGAAGAGTGGAATGAGGAAAAACTTCTAAATATCTGCTATATTTAATACATACCACATTCAAAAACCACATACATTGCGAAAAAAAAAAGGACAATTCTATATCTCCTATTCTACTGGGCCGATTGACGAAATTCAAATTGCGTTCTTCATGTCTCAAAAGCGCGACTTAGGATATATATTAGATTTGAATATAGCACTTTAATTTTTTAATCTTTTAATTCAAATATTTATCCTTTGGACTTCTCTTTAAACTTTATTTATAGTTAAAATGTCCAGAAAATGAAAAGCTATCTTCAGCCGAAACGCATTTGATGCAACGGATATTTTAAAAAGTTTGACAAGAATGCAAAATTTGTGGAAGTGTAACAATCGAAAAATCTTAATTTTCTTGTGTCAGCACTGAAAACAAATGTAGAAGTAAAGAAAGGAAATTAGGGAGGAAGCAAAAATTTAAAGGGGACTTCAAGGAAGTTAGGTGTTTAAAGGCAAAACACTTGGAGGACGCGCACACCAACAAATAGCAGTGATTGAGTTAGTACTAACGGAAAAGACAAAAACCATATCATTGCAGATTAAATTGAAGGGCGACTGGTTTTCAACTATATGGTTGTATAAATTTAAATTACGTCATAAAGCATCATATCATATCATAAACGGAACATCCCATGATTTCTCAGTCAAATTATTTGAAGATTCAGGAATTTATCCATAAGGTATTACTCCCGCCTTCGTGATGTAGTGGTCTGCATGCTCGGCACGTATTCAAGAGGTCCATGGTTCGATTCCCGTGAGGTCATTGCTCATTTTTCAAGTCTCCTGCTTCCAAAAAATCCTAATGTCTCTAAAACGTATATGGATATCATCTAAAGACGTTTTTCCTCTTGATGAAACCAGTCTTACCTTTCATCTCATGCCTTCAAAATGCTTAGTCTGATAAAGGCTTTGACTAGATACTAAGGAAATGGATTGAATTGGATTATTAAGTTACGGCAAAGCAGGGCTATCTGCCTAAAAGGAAGGATGCCTTCGTGAAAAACGTTCTAAGGGAAACCAGCTGGCATACACATTACACATGAGAAAAAACCACGAAAACATCCATGCAATCAGCCTGTTTGCCGGGATTCGAACCCCAGTGTTCAGTGACTTTACCGCTTGGCCGTTTGTGGGCCTTTATGAAATAGAAGGCGATAACTTTATTTAAAATGAATGTAAGAAATAGATGTTTAAAAAGTTGGATGCTTTTTAATATAGTTGTAGAATGCTTGAAGAAAAAGTGCAAGCCATTAAGTATAAAAAATAAATTTTTGCATCAAATTTAGTATATTTTATTTTTTTTAAACTTTTTTAATCTTATGATATTTGATTCTTGTGATTTCTAAAATAAAACATTTGACTAAAATGTGAATAACATTTTAAGAAACTAAATGTAGGATGATAAAATTGTGTAAAGCAATCGGCACACTGATAAAAATGTTTAAAGCAATATATATAAGTCATCCTAAGTTAAAATGTCGGTTATGTATCTCTCTTATTTGTATATCTTTTGCGAACGGAACAATGAAAGGCATGTTAACTGTGCTTTAATGTATGCAGTTTTCAAATTCATCATAGTCTGGGTCACAAAGTATTCTTCCGAAAGAAACGCAATGCAAATAAATAAAATCAAATTCTGGAAAATTTGTATTACTAAATATGTTTAAAATGCTCAGTTCGAATGAATAAATAAAAAATTTTAAAACAATTATCTGAAGAGGCAATGCAACACAAACAATTAAAATTAAAGTCTAAAAATTTTAAAATTACCTAAAATAATAACTGTGACTAAAAAAGTATAGTATAAAGAAAACTATTTGAAAAAATATATATATAAACGATGCACCTTTTATTTAAACTACACAGTTCAAATGTGTAAATAGAAATTTTTAAAGCAGTTATTTGAAAGAAACCATGCAACTTAAACAATTAAAATGAAATTTGAAAAAGAAAAAAATACTTAAAATAATAGGAATTATAATTAAAAATATATGAAGAACATTATTTGAAAGAAGGAACGATTGTGCCTTTTTTTCCTTTCACGCATGATGTAAAAAGGAAAAGAAAATAAGTTGCCCTGTATTAAGAAGTTCACCAAGTGAACTAACTATCCTTGATGCAAACAAAAAAGCACCAACATAAATTGTTGAATTTCGCACCAAATTTTACAAAATCTAATATTATGTTAATTTGAGTCGTAGAATTGAAATATGTAAAAAAAATGGTATGTTATTTCAGAAAAAGTCTGATTTTGTGTCGAAATACCTATGTTAGAATAGTGCTATATATAAATATAATATATATCTTAAGTCACACTTTCGAGACATGAAGAACGCACTTCGAGTTTCGTCAGTCGGCCCAGTAGAATGGGAGATGTAGAACTGTCTTTTTTTTTTTTTTTTTTTTTTTTTTTAAACCTCATAGTGTACATAATTAATCAGTTATTTTTTAGGCTAATCCATATCAGTAATAATTTTTTTTACAATATTTTTGTCAAGAAGAATTTTAGCTAGTGTATAATATTAAGTTAATATAATAAATACAGTTAAAAGTCGTTAATCCGGACTCCTCGGGACTTCGGCGATTCCGGATTATAGATCATCAGTTTAAATCTAGTAAGATGGCATGCAGAAATTACAAAATTAAAAATATGAAACCGTAATTTATGAAATAAAGAACAATTATGATCTAAAGGGTATCAAAATTTACAAAAAGAAAAAGCTTAATATTTATTTGTTTACTTTATTAAACATTTCCTTCAATGTAAGTTGCTTCGTTTCATGTGATAATACTTTTCTCTTAATTCTATTAAACAGACATAATTTCTTGTTTAGTTACAAAGTTCCGCTGTTCAAGTCCTATAATTGCTTGCTGTGTTTGAGAATACCGACTAATTTGTCAATCGAAATGTTTTCGTTTTCAATAACCTCTGGGTCACTTTCCTTCACTATCGGAAGCGAAGCGATTGTAATGACGAGGAACTTGATTTAAATCATATCAAAGACGGAGTACATCGAGATGAAAATACTACACTTAGTATGGAATTATAAACCAAATAATAAAAAAAACATCTGCCCTGAAGATAAGGATAGTGCTGACAGATTAACTTCCAATCCGCCGCGTGAAATTGATAAACAGATTTCGGATTTCAAAACATACTTTCGCTTTGTAGATACAAATTACATATTAGTAAATATATATCGGAAATTCTATTTGACATAATCTTTCTAATCTATCATAATCTAATAATGACGTTTCTGCCCCCCCCCTCTGCCGCAGAGCGTGAAATTGATAAACAGATTTCGGATTTCAAAACATACTTTCGCTTTGTAGTAAATATATATCGGAAATTCTATTTGACATAATCGAAAGTTCAAGCTTACTTTTATAAAATTGCTCTAACAGTCTGCAAAAAATAATAAGTCGGATCCAATTCGAAGATTAAGGAACAACGCAATCTGCAACATTAACTGAATTAGGTAACTTTAGCTTAGCCTATCACACACATTAAACGCGCCGTTACACAAACGCGCATGCGCACAAACATATTCGCAGCCGTAAGGGTCTTACGCGCTCTCGTAAACGCCTGTGCGCATGCGTGAACGCGACGCATGCGCAGAAAGTTTGTAGCTTTGAGGTCCGGATTATAGATCATTCCGGATTATGGGTGTCCAAATTAACGACTTTTGACTGTAATAATGAAGAAGCTCTTAATATTTTGTGAGTCAATCATTTTATTGATAGAGTAGTCTTATTATTCTCGATATATATTGCTTTGTTGTTTGTTGCCTGGATTAAAATAAAATATTGTAATATTGAATGTGAAATGTATACTTTATGTAATATTTGTGCTTCCCCCTGCAAAAAAAGAAAAATAGAGGACTTATCTGTATCTTTTGTTCTTGGCTGATAAAGTGTACATTTATTTTTTATGGGTCAAGGTATGCTATAAAATACATTCTAAATTTATGTATGTTATTGCTCTAGCAGGATGTGTTTTACTTAATATTTGACCTTTCTCTTGAATGATATGCCAATCTTTCCCACCCCTTTATTCAAAGAGAACTTTCTAAATCTATTTTGGAGGCATAACTGAAATGAAACTTTCAGTTATATTTACCCATTAAATTGAAACAAAAGCTATAATGAAATCTTTTAATTTATCTCCAGTAACTGAAAGTAAAAAGTAAGTAGGTTCATTAAACTTTTTTCTGCTGGCCTTTTAAGAGAATCTAGCAACATGTACATATATTTTATTTTGGTTGAAAAGACACATATTTTCACTTTTATTTATGGAAAAATAGTAAAAGTTAGACATTTCTTGTAGAGAAGCCTTAATTTTCTAGTATTCATTGAAACCTAGTTTATTTTCTCCAGTTGTCTTTAATGGCAGAGAATAATTAATTTATTATTGAATTTCTCTTGTTTGATATCTTCTTTGTTAATTGAAAACTTTTATCTTTTATGTATAAAAATTAATTTTTCATTTAAATTTTGTTCTTGTTTATTTTTCAGATATAACCATAGCTCTATTTGTTGCTATGATAGGTGTTACCATTATTGTGATGACTGTTTATGCAGTATGGAGGTTTCATATTCGTAAAGATAAGTATTCCTATCACCTCATGCCAATGAGTTGAACTAAGTGAAACTGTAAGTCTGTGATATTCCAGAAAGAAAAGAAATTTGTTCTGTTTCATTTACATTTTCAGTTTTTTCTGAAGTAAAAAGGAATGTGTTAACACATTCAGTTAAGAACAAGATAAAAAAGGTATTTTTCATATTATCATTGTACAGATATAATAATTAAAGTCAAGTTTACTGTAGTTTATACTGGTAAAAAGTATTTGTATTGACATTATTTTTGTGTTCATGTAAATATATTTAGTGCTCAATTTTATGGACTTATTTATTACCAAGAGTCTGTCATTCATAATGATTTAAATGAAATACAGTATTAATTGGGATCGGGATCTTGGATTTATGTAAATATGGATATCATTGTTATTAAACTTTGAAAAAAAGAAAAAGCAAATGAATGAGAATAGTTTTTATTTGCATAAGAATCAATTGTACAAAATATTGTGGACTTGTTTATTTATATAGGTACTTGAATTTTATTTTATATAAATGCACATAGACATTTTAATCAAGATACATCGTTGGTAAAATTATTGTAAATCATAATACATAATTTATTATAATTATTGCTAATGTTATTTTAATTAAATATTATCATTTGTTCAATTTTATTATGCTATTTCTGTCCAGATTGTTTGCAGAATGCTTCTGCTGTATAAAATTCTCCCCTCCCTAATTTTATCTGTTCTGGTATTCTGTTTCAGATCTTTTATGTCATCAATAAAAAATGTGTTAATAGAATTAAAATTTTTGATAAACCTTCTAAAGAAACTTTATAAATGTTTTTAATGCTTTGCATTTATTTGCTACTAAGGAAATTATTTCATTGTGAAATACCAAACATAGTTGTATTTATAAAATATTACACTTTGCAACTCTGTATAGTTTGTATGCAAGTCTTACTAAGTTTTCAGTAGTATTTCAAGTTTTTGAGTACTCAGAACTTGTATTTTTAAAAGTCTCCATTGTAGAAAGTATACATTTTATGCACCTTTTTTTAATTCATATAAATTTGTAAAATCTAGAGTCCATTGTAGTGAGTAGTAGATGTATTGCCTAGTTTCAGTAATATGAAATTCCTTTAGAAATTCCATTCCTCATAGTATACTACATATATTTCTATGTATGAGTCAAGAATTTTTGGAATAAACGATCCAAAAATTTAGCTTTAGAAAAATCTAAAGCTAAATTACAAAGGTTGGCGTTTACATGGATCCACTAATCTTTCAAAAAAACGTAGGTACTTTTCTGTTAGCTGAGCACAAGTGATAAATTACTAAATATCTCACTTTTTTGTTTCTTAAGTTTATGAAAAAAATTAAATGAGTTAGTTGTATTTTCAAAATTGTTTATAAAGCTGGTTTGTTGCATTGTTGCCAAAATGAAAGATCCATTTTTGGCAAAATTTGCACCAGGCCTTCTCAATGGAGAAATGCCAAACAATCATATTGTTGTTAAAATTTTCAGATAAGAGGATCACCCATAGTTTGAAATTTGCCATATAATAATTTCTTTTCCAACTCATCTTTCAGGTAAATAAAATGGTACAGAAAATAAGACTAGCACAGATACCCCAAACTGTATACAAGACAAAAAATGAATGGGGAAAATGTGATAGCTGAAAATAGGATTACAAGAGTTAAAACTTCATTGTTGGCATCTGGGATTTTACTTAGTAGCGATTTGATTGGAAAATTTTCCACCTATTTTACCTACTTGGCAACATTTTTGCTTTCATCTAAATATGTTTAAATTTTAAAGGATTTTCCCCTTTTCAACTTATATATATGGATTTTGAATTTGGGGTAAATTTTTGAAATAAAAACGCACTTTTGGCTTTTACATGGATTAATTTATATATTGAAATGTGTGATATTTATGTGTACCATTTAAAAACTTTGCAATAATCCTTACATTTACATCATGTAACATTATTAATCATAATATTTGAAACATTACGTATATAAATGCAAAAAAACTCTAAAATATATTGGCTAAATAACTGTGTGTAATTTTTCTGAATAAGAAATTATAAACAATATATAACTGCCTTTATATGAACTATTTCTTGGTGTAAATTTAAAAGTTATTCATGTGACAGTAATTATTTCTTAAACTGGTTATATGGCTGTGTTTAATTCTGAATTAATGCTCTGTTATTATTATTATTTAATGTTTACATGGTTTCATGTATTTATATATTATGAGAAATTGTAATTTAAGCATATTTGTATTTCTTTTAAGCTTATTTCTTGTGTTAACCTCTCAACTCTCCCACAAAGTTGTCAGTTATTGATGTCGCACTGATGATGATTTTTCACTAACCTAACACATTAAAAACAATAGCTGGTTTAAAAAAAATGGTACTACACTGAAAATTACATAAAACAGCAACAAAATTTAAAACACAAAAGCATCCATAATGAAACAATCAAAATATCATAAAACCATAATAAATTTACTAAATTAAAAATATTACAAACATCCACTTAACTTCCTATTTTCTTGGTCTTCTGTCTGTATTCACAGCAGTATTGCAAAACCAAACTGGCACTGCTTTCCATGTACGCATTGACCTGTTTTAAGTTAAAAAGGCAGACTGCCATATTTCTGGAAAAGAAAAGAAAAAAAAAAAAAAAATGCAACGCTTTCATTTTCATTAGCAGGCACACGGTAGCGTTATGATTCATTGCGAGGAAAAAAAATCACAAACATGACCCTCAGATATCAAAGCCACACAAATTACTACCACCACTACTAAAATGCTGCTCGCATAATGCATGTGCCAATAGTGGGTTGCCAGATAAATACATGTACGTAAAATTATGGGTTGCTACATTGTCAACATAGTATTTTGCCCAGTGATTCTTGTCAAATTGAGGAGATAATGTAATAGTGCCATTTTATTTTTTAGCAATATTGTACATTAGAAATTTGTCTATGTAAAGGTAGAATTTTGAATTATATAATCATGAAAGTGAAATAATTGGGAAAAGTTGTTAAGAATAAATATTTATGTAATATATAATGCATTTGCTATTAGGTTGATTTTGCATTTTCGAGGTAATTATTTATTTCTCTTTCAAGTTTTAAATCATTAGAAGTTAGTACAGCAACATTGTGTTCAAAACACTGAAGATCTGAAACTTTTTTTTTTGAAAAATATTTATTTTTTGTGTATTGATGTTAGTATGCAATCTACCACTTTTAGTTAATTATTTATTTCTTATATGATGTTGTTAAAGTGCAGTTTTTAAATATGAAAATAAACATTATTAATTAAGAAGGAACAAATGAAAATGATTTCAATAATTAATTCAGTTATGTAATAAACTACTTTCATTAAATTTAAATTGTTTCCAAGTTAACTGAACAAAAGAAAGATTGGCCCTAAAAGAGCCGTTTTTATGAGTCATTCAGCCATATACCATACGCATGTCATGCAGCATGGGCAAAAAATGATCTTTGCTTTAATTAATGCATTATCAGCCATGCTTCTACAAGATAATATGAAACATTTACAGATGTGATTTACTTTAACTTCAGAATCTCCCAACATGATTCAATTGTTTGAGCATTAGTACTATTTTCAGAACCGACAAAGTTCTTTTAAAAATTACAGTTTGATGATACGATCACAAAAGCAGTAAGTTGCATACAACATCAATACCATTATTTGTTATCAAGCTAATTCAATGATCATTTTAACTAAAATATATAAAGGAGAGAATATCTTTTAATAATATGAATGTGGCAATTTTGAGTCATATATTCGTCTTATATATAGAGAGAGTCTTATATATATATATAATGTTGTATGATCTTAAATTCGCTTAGTTCGAAAACAATGCTAAATAGCAGCTATTAGCGCTATTTATCACTTACTTGATGCACTCACTCTATATATTATCTCCAGTTTTATTTTTATTTTTAAGTTTAAAAGTTTTTCTACAAAAACTTTTCTTTTTAGATACTTCTACTAAAATTAAAATTAGGAGATATATAATCAATATTTCTTTAGTTAAAAAATTATTATATATATATGTAAGAAATTTTATATTTAAGTTTTGCTCTTTTGTTTTGTTTCACCCATTGATATGTATAAGATCACAAACAGAAGTATTTAGTTGAAAGAAAATTTATTGATTAATATACATTTCAAGATATAAATTGAGCTCCTTCCCCCCCCCCCCCCTTTTTTTTTTTTTTTTTTTTTTTTTTGAGAGAGAGAGGGAGAGAAAAGAACATTCTTGAAATACAGAATATTCCATAAAAATAGCATCCCATCTTTTACAGTTATGTATAGTTGAAGAAAAAGACATGCATAACTATTCTTGAATAGAAAAATATGATTAAAACCAGGTATAATAATTTCTGCAAGTAGTTATCTTCTTTATTCAAGTTTCCATTCTTTTCACACTATTTTTTGTTTCCCATTTCCATAGTTTGTTTAGATATCTTTCTAATTCTTACCATTGACCTTTAGTTTTTGTAAGTTTTAAGTTTTGCTGCAGCTGTTCTCTTGAAAGTAGCTCATACAAAATATTCATGTGCAATATTCAGTTAAATTGTACCTACTTGTAAAAAATTAGTTCAGAGTATGAATACATGCACATCTAAAATTGTTAATCATTTTCAAATGCAAGCAGTGCCGGATTTACGTATAAGAAAGAAAGAAAAAGAAAAGAAAAGAAAATGTGACTTATGTGCCTCATAAAGTGCCCCATATCTCAAATAGCTTAGCATCTCGTCAAATCTAAATCCAGTCGTGAAGGCAAGGAAAATATTAGTCACATTGAATGACCAAATGTTAAATGAGTTGATTTCAGCAAGAGGTAGGGATGCTCTTGGAGTTATTTCATGAAATATTTTACATTTTATATCGGGTTTCTTCATATTTAGAGTTTTTATGTTTAAATGTTGTCTGCTAAGGTTCCGTAGTATCAGATCTAACTAAAAACTTTGCTAATAAAAAACAAAATTTGGCTAAGACAAATTCTAATTTTTCAAGAACAACTGAGTATTGTAAGTTTAATAAATATATATTCGAATATATTTAAATATAATATATTTAATATTAATGTATAAATATATTTATAGTCTTACCATTTACATTTAAATTCTTATCATTATGAAATTTTGAGAAATACTTTATTTAGTTTAGCAGTTAAATTATATTTTTAATCAAATTTATTTTCATCAGCTAGATAAACGCATCCCCAATGGAGGTAGAGGCAGTATCACTAACTTTGAGAAACACTGGTTTAAATTTTTTATAGCTTCTAAAAAGTAACTTGACAAATTAGAATTTTGAAAATAATTATTTACGTGAAATATTTTGATTATTCATAAATTTTTTAACTAGTCTTCACTGCACACCAATGGCCAAATGATTAAAATCACTGACATCTGGCAGTTCCAATTTGACGATTTCTGGTGGAAGAAGTTGATCTTATGGGTTTCTCAATCCATATAATTGTAAATTATCATCAGCGTCTTAGGACACTCATTTTAAAATTTTGAGTAAAAAGTATAATTACTGCTGACTTTGTTTCATGTTACCTACCTATTCTTTGGCTTCCAGCTAAAATATTTTTGATGTAAATGTAAGATTATAAATTAAAACTAGAATGTATGTTGCATTTGATACTAAAGGTATGATGAAGTATGGAAATAATATAGTGCAATTTGCATTTATGCAGCTCCTGTATGGTTGTCAAATTTGATATTTTATTTGCATTTTAAAAGAGCAGAAGTATAACATACAGTCATTTAAATGTCATTAGATGAATTGTGTATTCTTTCTGTGAAATGTTTTAACATTCCAATAAATATTTATTGTATTTTAAATGGTGATGTGTTTTCTGTTCTGTAAGTTGCATGGAATGCTCATGGTTATGTTTGTGTAAATTGATATGCTTTATATTCAGGTATTTTGTGCTAACTAGGCGATTTCATTAATGCTGATAAATTAATTGCAACAAGCTCTTCATACGCGACAAGAGTTTTAATAACACTTCTTTAATGTTGCCACGAAAGACATATAAGATAGACATATAAGATATATTCCTAATAGAGTATAAGTTGTAAATATGACCATATAAACATCCTGGTTAAACAAATTATTGCAAACTGGTTAAGACTTGGTTTTGATAGAGTTGCACAGTGTGTGCTAACATTCTTTTGGTTAGAACAAAACTATGAATTATGAGTCTTGATGTAAATGACGTTAAAGAGGTATTGGATTCAAATGACATGAGCAATAACGAATAAGAACATGAGTTTGTAAAGGAAATAACAAAGAATATGCTAAAATATTTCACTGTTTGAAATCTTTCAAAGCAGCAAATAATGGATGTGAATCCATATTCTAACTGAAGCATTCTTGTTTATTGGCTAGGTCTAGAGATTCATTTTTCTGACTATTATAGTATTTATGCTGATAACTATTCAAATGGCTTTTGATAACGTTTTCTGAAACTGCAAAAGCTAATTTCAATATTACTATTATTTAAATATTTATTCTGCATTCGGTTTTTACTTTTCCCTTCAAAAAGACCATATAAAGTGAATAAAATTAAAGCAGTACTCAGTTACAGATGAATTGTAGTTTTTCCCAGTAATTATTATTAGATTAAATAGATTTGCCTATACACTAGGACATTGAGAGATTAATTAATCATGTTAATCAAGGGATAGCTTTACAGCATTTTTAGTAATATATTGTTGCTTGCATATGGGTTCATAATAGATTGAATGCACATAAGTCTGATGATAGGTTAATAAAATTTATTTTTATCAAAAGAAACACATCAGAGTTCTGGAACTTTCCACAGAAATACTCGTACTGGTGTTAGCAGTTTCACAGAGTACAATCAGTAGTTACACTTCAAGCTACTAAGAACGTTAAACACAACGCAATGCAAAGTGCATCTATAAAGAGCGAATTTAACCCTGAGATATCTCAGTACTCTGACTCACGCTGAACTAGCAATAAGGAAAACTCAGAAACTATTGCTGTCTTCGGTCTTATATTGTTTTACCCGGCCGTCGAGATATTTCTAGTACTTCCTGCTTCTGGAAATTCCTGGAAGTTATATAAGGGCCGAATACAGTTATAGTTACACATGAAATCAATTACAGTTATTCAATTACAACACCTATTTTGGTGATATAGGGACCGGACCGAGATGTCGCCAAAATCGTCGCCAGTTTAGCGAAACAGCCATTTATTCAATGTTAAATAGGCTTGCCCCTGTATTCTTACGTTTCCAACAAGCTTAGCTTCTTTAGATTTTCATGTTACATTATAATGAAAAATGCAACTATTTCACATATAATGGCACTAACATCATCTATTCTATGTACAAAATTCGTAACACTACCCCTCTCTGAAGGGCAGCGAGTCCCGGGCAGTACAATCTGTGGACGGGAAGTCGTACTTACAAGTAATGCAAATCAATGCAGTACTTAAAACAATAATTTCAATACATAACATAAAACAAATCAAATGTTAAACTTACAAATAAATGCATAAATTTACAAATTTATATACATACAAGACCATGGTTTTAGTATACTATTTACATTATATATGCTATGGAGACTACGTTACTATTACGGTCATTAGTAAGGCGCTAGCCTGTCGTAATGAACTTTAGGCTTAGAATTCGATGGCTTACGAATCCAAACTGCAGCCTGTTTAGGACTGTGTAAGGACCATACCAAGATGACTGTAGGTTAAGAGAGGGACCTTTCTTTCCAATCAGATTACACAACACACCTTGTCACCGTAGAATCGATATCCTGTAGATCTCGTGTCGTATCGCATCTTCATCTTCTCCGTCGGCAAGTTGACTCGCTATCGTGCAAAATTGTGCTTCAAATCAAACCGTGCCTTGAAGTCTTTGATGTCCTCAGGCGATGAAGGCGCATCCGGAGAGTGACCAAACGAGTGATCACAAGACAGACGAAGGCACGACCGTAGAGCATCTGGGATGGGGGATAGCCCGTAGTCTCGAAGACAGCAAATCAATAGCCTATCAGACAGCCTGCTATAGGTCGGTATAAACAAGTAATTTCTTGTCTCAATCCGGTTGGTTTCTGTAAACCATCAACGAGAGGTTATTAAGGATGGTTCGATTAAACCTCTCTACCATGCGGTCCGACTGAGGGATATAAATTTGTCGTTTGGGTTTTGTCGATGCCAATTAGCTTGCAGTTCTTTAATTACAGCCGAGATAAAATGTCTTCCTTTGATTGGAATGTAACTGAAGAGGCACTCCGAACTTGGAAATCCAATGCTGCACCATTAACTCTGCTACCGAGACAACCTCTTGATCAGAAATAGGATGCGCCTCAGGCCACTTGGTTAAGTAATCAGTGACAAAGAGGATGTGTTTGTTGCCATCAGCAATTCGTGGCAGAGGTCCTAGGATGTCAAAGATGATACGTTCAATAGGCCTCCTATGTTGTAACTTCCTCTGGTGTATTCCTTCGGTCCGACTCACACAAGCATTCCATGCGTCAGCCCTTGCATTACTCCAATAGAAGCGCTCTCGAACTGTATATAAAGTCTTCATTATTCCGAAGTGGCCTCCTGTAGGTCTGCCCCGTTTCATCAGCCTTGTATAGTTCTATAAGGATGTCCGTGATCTTTGAAGTATCAGCTGCCATCGGAATGCCTTTCCATCATCCGATTCGAACTTCCGGTACAAGACGCCGTTTCGAATATGGAATGAGTTCCAGAGAGCCCAATATTGTTTTGTCGTAGGACTATAGATCGAAATGTCCTGCCAGGTAGGTTTCCTATTTGAAGACTCCATTAATTCAGTTATCGGTTTAATGTTGCTGTCTTCCAACTGGCCTTTCCTGACTTCTTCGTCACTCCATGGATTTCGATTAATCCATGCTGAAGTTGTAACTTGTCTTGCGGCCTGATTAAGAAGCTCGGATCTCTTCGAACTTGGAACATTGCCAGCGTTCTGCACAGGGTCTTCTAGACAGAGCATCGGCGTTTCCATGTGAAAATCCTTTCCGATGACGGATAGTTATGTCATATTACTGGAAACTGTGTCCATCTGGCTATATGGCCTTAAGGATTCTTGAAATTTAAGAGCGATGTCAACGACACATGGTCCGTGCGTAAGAGGAATTTTCTTCCGTAGAGATAATAATGGGATTGTACTAAAGCTTTCGCTATGGTGAGCAACTCTTTCGTGGAGGACACAGTAATTCCTATCTGGTTTAGGTAGACCCTTGCTGCAATATACCACGACACATTCTTGACCGTTTATTTCTTGGGACAAAACAGCACCGATACTATCATTGCTTGCATATCCCGTGTCGAGAATAAAGGTTTGTCGAGCTGAGGATACATCCGGATTGAAGCAGATGTTAGAACCTCCTTAAGTTTACTAAATGCATCCTCACTTTTTTTTTTTTCATTAGAACTTTTGCTTCCTCTCTGTCAACTTGTGAAGGGATCTTGCAATGGAAGAAAATTCCCTCACAAATTTCCTATAGTAGGTATAAAGCTCCGGGAAACTTCTCAGCTGATACATGTTTTCGGGGCGTCTTCTGTCCTTTAACTGCTGGCACTTTTTCTGGATCTGTACATACACCTTGGAACTCCATTGGTATATCCCATGTTGAAAAGTCCATTGCTGGCACCACTCATTGCAGAAATTTGAGGCGCTTTAAAATGGAGCTTCTCATTATCTAGCAACCTGTGCTTCGCCAGATGGTTACTAATTTGTCTACAGCGTCATTGCTGGGAAACAGTCTTATTTTCCGCGAGTTGGCGTTTAATGCAGTTCTATCCATCGCTTTTGTCACTGACATTCATTCCCACATCTGACCAAAATTGATGCTAGCATATAGGGGTTCGTAATAGACTGAATGCGCACGGATCCAATGATAGGTTTATTTTATCAAAAGAAACACTTCAGAATTCTGGAACTTTTTACACTTTAGGTGTCGAACTTTTCTCAGAATAATAACTTTATTTATTTAAATAAATAACTTTATTTATTTAAAGAAATAAATTTGTTTATTCAGGGCGATAACTAGATTCATGTAGAAAATCTGAGTACAATAAGCAATAAGTAATTTTCATCCTTACTTAAACGAGTTTACAACGAGTTCAACCTTTTAAGCACGATATGTTTCGAATTCGCTAAATACGTTAGATCTTCCCTAAACGGCATCTTAACTACGTATTTCCGATTCTCTTCACGGATATAGCTTGAGTATTTCATCTAAATTTGTTTCTTCTTTTATCATACCACAATGAACGCCACTCTCTTTTTCTGTTACAAATGCAAAAAATCCAAACACACTGTTTTGTAGAATGATGTTAGAATTATCAAATCGAATTTGACTTGGTTGTAGCAAATTTAAATATACCTCTACACCGAGCAAACAGTCATTACATGCGGGAATATTAAACTTGTCATCTGCTAACTTTATATGTCCAAAATTTCCAAGAGAAATGTTTACTCTCTGTGAGGGTATAAAGTCTGTCGTTATTTTCAGAACAAACATGAAATTTACATTTTTAACATAACACTTACTTTTGTTACGAATATTCGCATTAACTCTTGTTTTTATTCTTACAGATGAATCATTTAAACCTCAAACTACAATATCTACTTTTTCTTTTTTTAATTGTATGATATCTACGATTTGTTTACTTAATAGACAGGATTCACTTCCATCCAAAAGGAATCGTAATTTATATTCATTTCCGTTTGCGTCTGTCAAAATACAAATCGCGGCACTTAGTAACACTTTATTTTTCCTTTTATTCGAATGATTACTAAGAATGTTAAGCTTTGCACAAACTCTTG